GGCTGCCAGGAGAAATATCAGTAATCTCAGATATACGAATGATGCCACTCTGATGGCAGAAAGTAAAGAAGAATTAAGAAGCCTCTTGATGAGGGAAAAAAAGGAGAGTGTAAAAGCTTGCTTGAAGCTTAACATCAGAAAAACTAAGATCTTGGCAACTGGTCCCATCACTTCCTGGAAAACAGGGGGAGAAGAAATGGAAGTAGTATCTGATTTTATATTCTTGGGCTCAAAGATTACTGCAGATGGTAACTGTAGTCATAAAATTAAAAAATGCTTCCTCCTTGGAAGGAAAGCTATGGAAAATCTGGATAGTATACTAAAAAGCAGAGACATCACCATGCCAACAAAGTTCCATATAGTCAAAGTTATGTTTTTTCCAGTAACAACAGCTGTGAGAGTCGGACTATAAGGAAAGCTGAGAGCTGCAGAATCTATGCTTTCAAACTGTGGTGCTGGAGAAGACTTTTGAGAGTCCCTTGGACAACAAGGAGATCAAATCAGTCAATACTTAAAAGAAATTAATTCAGATTATTTGCTGGAAGATCAAATATTGAAGCTGAAGATTAAATACTTTGGCCACAAAATGAGAAGACAGGATTCATTGGAAAAGACTCTGATGTTGGGAAAGATTGAAAGCAAAAGGAAAAGGGGATGGCAGGGGATGAGATATCATAGAAACTATGAGTGTCATAAAAACAATGAACATGAACTTGGACAGACTTTGGGAGATGCTAGATGACGGAACAGCTCAGTGTGCTGTGGTCCATCGGTTACAAAGTCAGATGTGACTCAAAGACTGAACAACAAAAACAACATAGAAATTGTATTTTTTTTTCCCTTTTGGAAAGACCTTATTTTAGGAGTGCAGCCTTTATTTGGAAGCAGCACATAACTTAATCGCTAAAGTACATAATCAATTTCTAATGTAGATACATTCCTCCATAAAATATCAGTTATTTTACGCTTTGTGGTCTGTTTCCTTAGTCGTATGGTAAACTTCTTAAGACTAGGCAGGAACCAGGAACTATTTTCTTTTCTTTTGTAAGAGGTAGAGAATCTTTTTACAACACCTAGTTGGTGCAGTAACAATTGACTTAAGTGAGATGATAATACTAAGAAATCTCAAACTTAAGCACAATCACAAAAATAATTCATTACTTCTGTTCTTTCCAGAATCAAGCTTTATTTTGTAATGAAAAAAAATGCAATATTCAATTATGCATGCTATAGATTAGAGTATGAGATATAAGTGCAGAACTTGTACAGTGGACACATTTCATCTGTCAGTTTAATGAGAAATATGTTTCAGTCCTTCCAGAATACTGTAGAAAGTCAATGACCAAAGGAGTAAATAAAGGGAGTAATTTTTCTTTGGTGACTATGAAGGTACAATTTGACCTTCAAAGGGCAACTCATTACCACACTCCTGTTCTTAGTTTATGCTTAGTTAATGCTCTCAGAGTAGAGGTGGTAACAGTATCAAGATATTGCACAGAGACCCAACTTTATTCTGCTTTTAGAGAATCTTTTATAAAGCCTATTTGATGTCATGATGAAAGATTTAAGGGCTTTAATGTAAGAAAAGAAGTGTAGATACTAGAAATAAGTCTTTTTCCCTCAAAGGATAGTTTGTCTATAATCTCTAAACCTGAACTTTGACTCCATGTCTTAGATATGGAAAAGGTTGGAGTGATAGCATGAAGAAAACATCATTTTTGTGAATGTTCTAAAGTAATGAAAATGAGACAATGCGGGCAGCTAGGCGGCACAGTGGAAAGAGCTCTGGCCTTGGAATCAGAAGGACCTGAGTTCAAATCTGGGCTCAGACATTTGATACTTACTAGCTGTGTGACCTTGGGCAAGTCACTTAAGCCCGTTGCCTAGCCAAAAAAAAAAAAAAAAAGATTTGTTTGATTTTACAGGAAAGAAAGTATGGGAATCAAAAGGATATGTGAAAGACATGTTGTAATTTATGAGACATGAGAAACTGATAGACCTGTGACCAAAGTTCCCACTGAATTAATGTTAAATGTCAATGGATAATTTTTATTCTTGATCAATTCTCATTTGCAGTGGTTAGTAGGGAGTTCTCTAACAACATTTGATATTATTGCTTTGAGTTATATGAAAGAACCAAATAAATAATGAGTTGAATTTTCACTAATGGTAATTAAAACATTACCTTCCCATTCTATTCACATATATGTTACTTATGTCTCCTGGCAGCATTATGGAATTACAAATGTGTATGTACATGTGTATACACACACTCATGAATGTTAGTATGGAGTTAGGTCCATCTTTTGAACTTTCAGTGTGGGAGAATGAGGTAAACTTTATATATAATTAAAAATACAACAGTTATAAAGTTATTGCTATCATTAAGCTCATTTCCAAGGTGAGAAGCAGTGCAATGTAGTTAATAGAAAGCGCACTTTAGAGTTAGGACTCCAGTCCTAATTCTGACACATATTGCTTGTGTGATCTTGGGCAAGTCATTTAACCTCTCAGTCTCCCAGTCAACTTTCCAAGACTATAAATTGCACAATAAATGTTGATCTGCATTGGTAGAGAGAATCTCCTCACTGGAAGCTCTATATGCCAGTGAAAGCTTGAGTCCAAACAACAACAACAACACCTAAAAATGACATGAAGTATTGTAGGGACCACAAATAGTAAAGTTGCATTTGATTGAAGATAAAATATCAAATTTGCTCTTTTCAGTAATAAGACAATCTCTGTCCTCAAACAGTTTATAATCAGGATATCTGGTATACCTTGAGTTTTATACACTGTATATCTTCTTAGAAAGAAGTAGGTAGATAATATAATCTTCACTAAGCAGTAAGGCTACCAGATAAATGAGAAGTTCATTAAATGTGAAAAATGCTGTACATCTGGGGCTTAATATAAAATAGAAGAAGGCAAGGCTTCTGTGAGCAAGAAGGAGAGGCTGAAAGGTCACCTTAGTGATTACCACATAGTAAAGGAATATCAGCTTGGCTACTCTTCGTGGCTTTATGAAAACAGTAAGCAACTTCAGTATGCTGAGAGCAGCAAATGTTTGGTAATACTTAATGTTTATCACATTTCCTTGGAGTTGCCTGCCAGACGATGGACTGAAGATGATGAATAGAAAGAGAAGCCCAAAGACGAGGGGGTCAAGGTGATTCACCAGGAGGAAAGCAAATTTGCATCTACTCATCCTTTCTAGTTATTTTCCTCATATTCAAGTATAAAGACACGTATTAAAGCTCTATCACTCAATTGTTTAATGTTCCCACTTCTTTTGGAAGACATTTTGGGAAGTCTACAAACAAATAAGAAAAAATCCACCCAATAGGAGAGGAGGAATAAGGTTACAACATGATTAATGTGTGTAATGTTATGGAAATCAATCAGTCAAATAGCATTTATTATTAAGATGGACACTAAGTTAAGTGTTGACTAGACAAAGAAAGGCAAGAACACAATCTTTGACCTCAACGAACCCATATTTCAATGGGAGAGACAACATGCAAACAACTATGTACATACAAGATACATATAGTATAAATTTGAAATACATCTAGGTTCCAATTAGGACAAATAATGAATCTCCTGTAGTAGTCAAATATGTCCAAATTCATACTATTCAAAGTTATCATTATGTAAAATATGGTAATTGGTTCCAACCCAATGGAAATATGCAGTGTGAATTTGAACAATGTGGCTACATTATTTATACTAATGAGAAATAGCAGGGAAAGGGGAGGGAGGCAACAGGAAAGGCCTCTTACAGAGTTGAGATCTCATCTGAGTCTTGAAAGTAGCCATGGAAGTCAGAAGGTGGAGGTGAGGAAAGATAACATTGTGGGAAAAAAAGAGGGATAGCCAGTATAAATGTGCAGAATCAGGAGATGGAATACTGTGTTTAAGCACCAGCAAGCAAGCTAGCATAGCTAGATATCAGAGTATGTCCTGGGGAATTACGTGAAAGAAGATAGAAAGGGATCAAGTTTCATAAAACTCTTCATGAAGCTTTCAAAGTCAAGTAGAAGATTTTATATTTGATCTTGGCAGTAATAAGGAGCCAAATGAGATTAATGAGTAGGGGAGTGACATGGTCAGCTTTGTGGTTTAAGAAGTTCACTCTGGGGGGCAGCTAGCTGGCGCAGTGGATAGAGCACCGGCCCTGGATTCAGGAGGACCTGAGTTCAAATCTGACCTCAGACACATTGCTACACTTACTAGCTGTGTGACACTGGGCAAGTCACTTAACCCCATTGCCTAACTCCCTCCCCCTCCCCGGCAAAAATAGTTCACTTTGTCAGCTGAATGAAGGATAGAGTAGAGTGTGAAGAGTTGAAGCAGGAAGATGAACCAGAAAGCTACTGCCAAACTTTCAAGCATTAAGTAATGAGGGTCGTACTAAGGCGATGGTTGTGTGAGTGAAGAA